GTTGGCGAAAGCGCTTTCGCCATTGTTGGGAACGATGTGTGTTGGGTGGGTAGGTAAAAAGCAGGGTGAGATGCAGGAGGCCAGTGGCGAAAATGGTGTCGGCTCGCTCAACGTATGTAGCTTTGTGAATAGGAGTGGATAGGGCTCGGTGAAGCCGAACAAGGTAGTGCGTGTTGGTGACGCGTGGAGTGAATTGTGCTTGGAGGCTGAGTCAGCAGGCGAGTGCTGCGCCGAATACTGACGAGGTTTTGGAGAGTCTTGAAAGGTGCCTTGTTGAGTTTGGCTGGGAGACCGTAGCGGGCGGCAGCTTCCCAAAATGCGGAGAATGTCCTGCGCGGACGCCTGAATTGCGTCGTCGAAGGCGGGCATCCAGTTTGCAATGGCTGAGTACGACCATCCCTCATGAATGTCGGCTGAGGAGGGATCGGAAGGAGGCGGTGGTGCTGAAGTGGCTCTGTGCTTGGGGTCCTTTTGAGGAGTCAGGGTGACATGTGTGGCGAGTTCGGCCTGCTCGTTGCAGCTCCTCGTTCTTGGCCTTAAGCTCGCGGAGAGCCGTTCCTTCGCTGCGGGTGGGGCGTGTGCTGTGAGGTGGGCCATGAGAAGTTCGACCAGGGGAGCCATGAAAGCTCTGGCTTCGGTTGTCTTGTTGGGGACGCCGTTATAGTGGTGAAGTGCTTCTGTGGCGGCATCGAGATCGATGTGCTTGTCGCGGATGTCTTGTAGTAGGTGGGTGATGCACCGACTCTGCGATGCTGCGTGGCTGTGGCTTAGGGTGCGGGCGGTGAAATCGGAAGTGTTGTGGTAGGCAATCAGCCATGGAAAGACTTTAAAAGTGGGAAGTCCCGCAATGCCAGCCTTGCGGGACCAGGCGGTTGGTTGAATGGTGCCGAAAAGTAGGGACGGTAGGTGGTGCGGGAGGCGTGGAGTGATGGGCTAAGAGTGGCTGGTGCTGGGCTCGTGGAGCAAGCGTCCAAGGACACACCAAGAGAAGAAGAGAAGGGTTCCCAGCTATGACGAAAGCATCCAGGGACACCCAAAAAAAAGAAGGAAGAGGGGGAAAGGAAAACGAAAAAGAGAGACAGCGAAAAAGGGAGAGAGAGGGAGAGAGAGAGAGAGAGAGAGAAAGACGGAAAGGAGAAAGAAACAAGGACGAAAACAGGTGTTCCCAGCTACGCGTCAGCGTCCAGGGACACACCAAGGAGAGGGGTATACCTAAGTGTTTCGTTCAGGAACACCCCAAAAAGGCAGAGAGAGAAGAAGGGGAGGGTAGGGGGAGGAAGGGGACTAAGGTCCCGGCAGATCCCAACGAGTCTTGAACAAACTTTGGCCGCGCTGCTTAGACCGCTACGGTCACGTAAAGGCATGAGCCAGCAAGGAATGCAATAATCCGACAAATCTTGGCAAATAACTTTGGCCTAAGCCTGCTTTGTCCGCTGCAGACTACTCTGGTCCCGGGCGCAGGGACGAAGACAAACCCCCGTTCAACGGGTCCACAGAGGGCACTCTGCGGGCTCACCCTGGGCGGAGAGACACACTTATAGAAATGCGTACTGACTTGACAGCGGTGCCACACGCCAGCCTAAGTGAAAACCGAAAAAAGCCAGGACAAGTAAAAGTACGGTGTTCCAAGCCACTTCAAAGCCTGCATGGCCTCCAACTCCAAATCGACAAATCCAAAGCGACAGTGCACATCTGCCGATGAGGAACTGATGCAAAGGCTGGACGTCTTGTTCTAGCTACAAGCAGGGCCCACGATGAAATTTCTCAAGTAAAACTGCAGGTACGTTTACACGGGCCCCAGAGGAGGTCTTCGTTGGCCACCGCTCCTCTGGGACCCCGGTGGCCCTCTGCTGTCACGGAAAAGGAAAAGAAGACATTCTGACTGGAACCTTGTGAATCCAGAGGGGACACACACTCTCAACAAGCGTGAAAGCGACATGTTGACGAAAACAAGGTTGAGAGGTTTCTAGTCGTCACGGTTTGAACAGTCTTGACTTATTTCTGTTTCTATTTCAAATTTTTGTCTACTAATAGCAAATGGATACTAGTAGCTTCTTGTTACTAGTCGTAATTCCCTTGTTACTAGTAGCGATGCACTTGTTTCTAATAGCCACTTGTTACTTGTAAGAGGCTTCTAGTGGTCAAGGTTCTTTCTCTTATGTTTATTTCCCAAAGTTACTACTAGCTTCTTGCTACTAGTAGCGATGCACTTGTTACTAATAGCAATGCCCTTAGTTACTAGTAGCTTCTTGTTACTAGTAACTTATTATATATATATATACCCTAAAGATCAGGTTAGACAATTTGGAAGGAATTAGATAACTCTAAAAGAATTATCTTTTCAGAGTTAATTCTAATTTATGAATTAACTTATCCAGGTAATTCAAACAGTTAACTCCAAAGTTAACTCTAAAATTAACTTTCTTTAAGGTTAGATAACTCTTGAATTATCTTCTTTTGGTGATATATTACACACACCACAAGAAGATAAGAGTTACTTTTTTTGGTGTTATTTTTGCATGGTTTCCTGGTTGGGTTGGCTCTTTGGGTGTTGCTTTTGCACGGTGTCGCTGCAGCTGTTCTGGTGTGGAGCTGTGTTCTGCAGTAGGGTAGCCATGGCCAGGGTGAGGTTGACACCAGACCCCAGCGTGTCAGTGTCTGACCTGATGAAGGCCTTTGAGACCTTTTTCAACCATGAGGGTATGTGGGACTTGAGGAAGCTCTTGCTAGAGGATGGAAGGTGCCCAAAGTCATGGAAGACCAGCCCTGATGCTTCGTACCTGTCAGGGCACATGGCTGCTCTTTGCACCCAATTGTTCAGGGTGTGCCCAAATGGAGTTCTGTCTTCCAAGAAGATCAAGCAAAGCCTAGAAAAGCTTCAAACAGAAAAAAGAAGCGCCTCAACCACTCCAGCACTTGTGACCCTGACTTTTGGGACTCTGTTGGCCAGACTGTGCGCATCGCAGCCGCCCAGTTCAGGGACTTGAAGGGTTCAGCAAACAAGTATGCTGCCTGCATAAGAAAGGCTTCTGCATCTGAGAAGAAAAAGGGTGCCTTCTGAGCTTTGTTTGACTTTTTACTTTGGCTGAAATACTTGTGAGAGAGTTACTTGTGCAAGAGTTATTGGTGCAGCAGTTACTTGTGCAGGAGCTACTTTTGTTGAATTGTTATTGACTCTATCTTATCTGTGTCTGTGTTCTATATCAATAGCGAGTTCTGAAAAAGTTATTGCCTGTAGATTTTTGAGTACTCCAAAGCAACCTGGAACCCAAAATTGCAAAGAGTGATTGAGCATATCTATTGTTGATGTCTTTTTATTGGAGAAAAATGTGATGTCTATTGCAAGTTTGCTTGAAGGTTTGCAATCAAACTTTCAATTGGGTTGAAACTTTGGTTGAAAGTTTGCAATCAAACTTTCAAGGGTGATTGAAAGTTTGCAATGAAACTTTCAATGGGTGGCTGAAAGTTTGCAATGAAACTTTCAAGGTGTGGTTGAAAGTTTGCCAGGAAACTTTCAAGGTTCATTGAAAGTTTGAGATTAAACTTTCAAGGCGGTTTTTTACCTTTTAATTACATTAAAAAGGGCTATTGAAAGTTTTAATGAAACTTTCAATTATCCCTTGAAAGTTTGATTGCAAACTTTCAACCCACCAATGAAAGTTTCATTGCAAACTTTCAATCCATGATTGAAAGTTTGATTGCAAACTTTCAATCCCCATTGCAAGTTTGATTGCAAACTTTCAACCAAAGTTTCAATCCCCTTGAAAGTTTGATTGCAAATTTTCAATCAAACTTTCAATCTATCTTGCAATGTTGCTCAAATTTTTTGAAGCAAACCTTTGATACATCAAGGGAAACTAGTTGAAACATAAATCAAACTAACAGATTTGTGGCAAACACTTTATCATGTGCCACAAAAACACACACAGAGGGTTGACTATAGAAAGGATTATGTGCATAGATTCATAGACAATGCTATTACTTTTGCTGGACTTACTGGCTCGAGCTCAAGTGCATCTGAAGAAAACAAACTTTTGACAGGCACAAACAGCACCAAAGCACAAAACATAATTAGAAGGAAACTATGCAAACATATCATTACAAACAGAAAGTTTTGTAAGTAGGCTGCAGCTCTTAGCAATTCCTTTGCAATGGCACCAAAGAGAACCAAAGAAACACAGGTCACAGAGGAAAAGGAGGTGGAGACACCAGAGGAACCCACAGAGCCTAAGGAAACAGTTCCACAAAAGAAAAAGAAACCAGAGAAAAGTCCAAAGGGCAAGGCCAAGGCAACTGTGTCCCCCAAGCTCAAGGCCAAAGCCAAGGCTAAGGCCAAAGCAAAAGCCAAGAACAAACTGAACAAAAAGCCAAGCACCAACGAAGGAGAGCCCAAGCCGAAGCCAAAGCCGAAAGCAGCCTTGAGGGATATGACCAATGCATGGAGGAAGGTTGAGAAAAAGGCAAAATGGTTGAGCACTGGCGCTTGGGGATGCATTACCAAATGTCTATGTGAAGAAAAACATGCATGCAAAGCAGTGGGCTCACAACAATCTTTGCGTTACTCTAGGAGTTGTTACTTGTGCAAAGGTACTTTTGTTTTTTTCTGGGCATTACTTTTAGAGTGCCATTCATGTGCGCAAAAACCAAACATATATGTTTTGGTAGGTTTTATTAATGGAAAATACTTGATCTTTAGGGTACTTATTTCTATGTCCAATAGTTTTTTTCCAGTGTTCTACTTTGTAATTGCTCTTTTAGTGTCGGCTCGAATCCTACCAGAGGTTCACCGTTAGCAACGGAAGTTCGAGGGGCGTGGTTTAGGACATGGAACTGCACCCGCTGGACATTCCCCCTCCAGGACGTTGGACGGGGGTGATCGATGTTGGTGACGCCCCTGGTTCGTCGCTTCGAATGGTGACATTGCCGCTTTCAGGAAAGACGATTCGGATCGCAGGCTTCCAGATGACATCTCAGGTGGTGTTACTGTGTATGATGCTCAGGTTAATCATGATAGCATGGGGCTTTTGCTGCTGATTGACGCGTCCTCGGTGACCGTGGCCAGAGGTCAGCTTAGCGTGGAAGATTTGTGTGAAGTGAAAGAGTTGTGCAGCGGCATTGCTTGCATTTCCATGGGAGCGGCACAAATAGGAGGCTGGGCTGTGGGAGCTTTAGATGTGAACCACCTTGCCATCTCTCATCTTCGTGATAATGGACATCCCAACCCAATCCAGGGCTCAGTGCTACGAGATGGTGACATTTGTCGCATGCACTTGCTGAATGGAGCCAAACGAGGCACCTTGTCAGCAGGCTTTCCCTGCCAGCCTTTTTCGAAGCAGGGAGACGCCAAGGGCATGGGAGACAGCAGGGCGGCAGTGTTCATGGGTGTCGCACGAGCTGCATGGCTCATGCAGCCAGGGCTGATTTTGCTAGAGTGTGTAGTGGAGGCTGGTGTTGTACCTGAGATCCAAAACACCCTGGTTCAGCTGGCAGAGGGCTTGGGTTTTGGCATTCGCACCATTGAGCTTGCTTTGGAGGAGCTGTGGCCCTGTCGGCGCCACAGATGGTGGGCAGTGATTACCTCACATGCTTGGCTGCCCACTTGTTTGCGATCATGGCCCAGCTTTTCATTTCCTCGTGTCAGTGATGTGATTCCAGCATGGCCGATTTGGCCTGAACATGAAGAAGATCAACTTGAACTGAATGGCGTTGAGCTGCATGCATTCCATGAGCCTAGCTTCGGACTGGAGGACCGAGTGCTTCAGACCAATGGTGTTGCACCCACAATCCTTCACTCCTATGGGAGTCAGTTGATGGGATGTCCTTGCAAATGCCGCAGTCAAGGTCCCAGTCCCGAGAGGCTGGAGAGAGCTGGCCTGCGGGGAGTGTATGTTCATTCTCAGTTGAGTGGAATGCCTCGGTGGCTTCATCCCCGTGAACTTGCAGTTCTGCAAACCATAATGCCAGACATGGTCTTCAATGATGATCTTCGTGCTAGCTTGGTGATGTTGGGTCAAATTGCTGCGCCGGCTCAGGCCCTCTGGTTGCTTGCTCAGATTTGGTGTCCTTTGTTTGCGAATTTGCCATCTCCAGAGAAGGCTCTCAAGAACTACCTTGATGACCTGCTTCGTCGACGGTATCATGTGTTCCCACCACAGTCCATTCCTGATCGCCAGTTGACACATGTCTGGAGTGCTCTTGGCAGTGAGCTTGTTGCATCAGTGGGCATCCACAGGGTGGACGATTTCCTTGCAGCTGAACGCAGGCTGCTTGCGTGCTCTGAGGTGGAGTTAGAAGATGAAGGTGCCCGTTTACATGGTCTTGCTATTCTGCATCCATCAGGGCAGAATGGTGCCTACACGATTGTGAGAACTGAAGCCTCAGGACAAACAGGCAAGGCGAAACTGGTCATGGTGAAGCTGATCTCTGAGGGGATGACTTGGCAAACCTTGATCTATGCTGGCAGCTTCCTTTTTGAGGCCTTCTGGCGGTTGCGCCTTCAGGTGGCTCCAGTCAAGCTGTATGATGATCATGATGGCTGCTGGTATCCGGATTCAAGGATCTGGGAGGACATCACGTTGCAGGATGTTCCAGTGTTGACCAGTGCTGGACCTCTGGACACGGGAGTGATGTATCAACAGCCTCAAGATGACATCTCAGGACCTCAGCTCCAACGAGCTATCGATGGTTTGGCCTTGAGCCCTTCTGGACCAGATGAGATTCTTCTCTCAGTGGCTCATGCACAGGTGTTGGTTCAGGCTCCGTTGCACCTTCCAAGTGCTGTTCTTCATCGTTGTGGTCAGTGCTTGGTATTTCACGGAGTCTTTCATAGTTGTGGCCATTGGGCTATGTTCTCATGCATCCGGGCAGCTGACAAGGTTGAAGTGCACTATTTTGATGGAGTGATTCATTTGCTGGACCATGAGATGAGGGGAGTCGGCGAATGGGCTGGCAGACTCTGGCATCTCGAACATGTCGAGGTGATCTTCGCCAGAATGGTTGTGCAGCCTCAGCCTCACTTGAGTGCAGCAGTGGCTCTAGCTCATCTTCGACAGGCCTGTACACTTCTGAGTGCGCCTACGTCGGCTGACCTGGAACAATGGCATGAACGGTCGATGGCGCCTATGCGGGAGGATGATTCCCTGATGGAGATTGAGGATATCCCAGCCGCGGAAGGGGTTGACTTGTTGGCCATGGCCAGATTTGCGGACCATCTTATGGCTGAAACCACAGGTGATGTGATTTTGATGCCAGTACTGTTCAGTGTTGCCTTGGGACATGGAAATGAAGAGGAGGCAACTGCCTTCCTGCAGAAGCACTTGCCATTGACCAAGTCGGTTGCTCTCTTGATTGAGTCAGCGCATCACTGGCTCCTTCTGGTGATTCGTGATTCCATGGGCTGGATTGATGTTGACTACTATGATGGACTGCCTCATGCGCATGATCAGGTGGTGACTTCAGTGGCTCATTGGGCCCAGGACTTGTTAGCAGCCAGAGGCTTTGTGATCAACTTTGTCACAGCGCTGACTCAGCAGCAGCACGACCATTGTGGTGTGATTGCTCTTGCTCATTTGGCCATGGTTCTACGACCGGAGGAGAACTGGACTCAAACAGCATTGACGGACCTTCACCTTCTGCTTCAGGATTCCTGGGAAGCCTCTCCTTCAGTTTGGGCTTGTGGTCAAGAAGGCTCAGAACACCGTCTTGTTCAGGAGGTGGCTGATTTGCTCATCTCCAAAGGAGCGTGCCCCAGAGCGAGCACTGGCAGGGATTTCAGCAGTAGGGGAACCAGCAATAGCTAAGGCCATGCGTCAGAAGCACCCCTGGGCTGAATTGAAACAGCTTGGATCTATGCCCTCAGTGCGCTTTCAGTGGGTGAAAGCTGATGAACTCATGAAGCAGGTTAGAGCACGTGCTGAAGAGAACTATGGAGTGTCGGCAGCCTCCCGTAAGAAGGACAATCGGCGTGAAAGAGCTGAACCTCAACCGTTGCAGATCAGTCCAAGTCAGCTTAGCTTGATTGAAGGATCATTTGTTGACTCGGAGGGCAATGCGTTGCAACAGATCCAGCTGGCTGAGGTCTCCAGTCAGGCCACTGCAGTGGCATTTGCAACAGTGGCCGAGGCGGGCCCCTATCTCAAGGAGGGCAAAAGTTTGAGTCTCTCTCCGCTGGCATTGTTGACCACTTCACAGGTCCCACATGATCTGATTGGCCTACTTCCAGTTGATCACATGCGCTATCCGGTGCTTTATCAAGGCACGCAAGAGCCAGTGCTTGTGCAGGGGTCTTTGATCCAGTTGGGTGATGAGAATGTCAGTCGGCACCATGCCTCCAATCCTCCAAGTCTGGATGCTTTGCCCACAGCTACACTGCGACTGCAGGTGTTCAGAGATGAGTTTGAACAGACAGGAGGCAATTGGGAGTCGTTCTGTCAGGGTCCTCTTCGACAGATGTTCCAGGCTGTCCCGTGATGCTTGTGGTGGAGATTGTGTGCGACATCACTGTCCAGTTGACCAAGATTATGAAAGCCTGCTCACTGACATCTGGGAAAGGCGATGGTCTCGAACTGATGGAGGTGGTAGGGTGAAGCCAGAAGATGCGGGCCAATTCTCAGTGCTGGCCAGAGTGGTCAGCTCAGCAGCAGAACAGGTGCAAAATCTGTCAGGACAACGTGGTTTCTATGTGGAGCCTCGGCAGGATGATGGAAAAGGACCGGCTGCAGGATATGGAGTCATCTGGTTGAATCAACATGGACATCGTGAAGCTGAGCACAAGAAGAAAACCACTGATGGGGCGATTGCTTTGGTGAGATTGGGCCAACGCTGGGGGCTCAGGTTCAAAGACAGCGACATGGAGAAGGCCTTTGCTGAGCTTCGACCGCATGAGACTTATATGAAGATCCAAGTACAAGAGATCTATCTGATGCACCCATTGCCGCATGGAACCACGAGGTCTGGTTTGGTAAAGTGTCTGAAGTCTTGGGGCTGGGCAGCCAAGCCATTGCAACCAGTTCGTGGAGGTCCGGAAGGAGCAGGATGGCATGTAGGCAGCGGCTCTCCGCCACCTAGCGCGGTGCTTCAAGGAGCTCATGGAGACGTTGTGGTCACCAAGGTTCGTTCGGTGGTAAACACCAAGGAAGCTTCGAGCATCTTGGGCTCGTTCAAGACGAAGACACATCTTAGATCGCAGACCAAGACATCTCAGCCACCACGAGGGCAATCAAGTGCGAGTGCGTCTAAAGACCCTTGGCTTCAGCAAGATCCTTGGCAGGCCTTCAAACCCACACAGCCCAAGCCGGTAGGGGGTGAGATCACGGCCCCGGCCAAGCAAAAGTTGGAGGAGGTGGAGAAGAAGCTTCGTGATGACATGAAGTCGGTGGTTCGTAAAGAGCTGGAGGATCATGCTGCGTGCTCTGAAGATGCAGCTATGCAGACTTCTTGGGATGCTGATGTGCGCCTGTGCAAGCTGGAAAGTTCGCTGGGGGAGCTAAAGGCTCAGAATGTGCGGTATGACCAATGGTTTGAGCATCAAGCACTGGTTCAGACCGAGTTGAACAATTGAGTCGAATATCTTGCTCAAGACCTTCAGTCTCAAAAGCAGCAGGTGGAGGCCCTGGATCAAGCGGTGCACAAGCAGGGTAATGATACCCAATCATCCTTTCTCTCCCTTGCTGAAGACATGCGAAAGGGCTTTGCTCACATTGAGAACATGTTTGCCACCCATGCACAGGACAAGCGGCAGCGCAAAGTGAGTGAGAGTCCCCACAAAGGAGAGTGACTAGATCGACCAGGAACCCCGGCTCGGTGCCGCAGGGGATTGCCTGGGAAGTTCCGAATTGGCACCACTTTTGCTGTTTGGTTTCTTCGCTACCTCATGCTGGGGGTGCTTTGTGTTGCGGAGGATCCTGATGACATGAGCCTGGCCTCGTGGTCAGTTCTTAGTTGGGGTGACACAATGAAGTCATTTCGTTATGATGAACAAGATGAGTTTGGCCACAGGGTAAGCAGAGGCTCTGGAGGGTCCTTTGCCCGCATCCAGTTTGTCAGCGCAGGTGGGTCTCTTGACCCATTCTGTGATATTGGGTCGGGGATCCGAAGGAGTGCTCACTTGCCTTGGTGGTGGCCAGCATGGAAGTTCAGGCTGGGGGAAGCTCGACATCCGGGGCCATCTTGGACTGGTGTAGACGAAGTTTTCTGCATTGGAACAAGCAATCCATCAGGTCTACATGGCAAAGAGCATGTCTATGGTACATTGCCAAAGGGAATTTGGGGGGTTGCAGAGACGCATTTGAGCTCTGCAGGGATGGCACCTGGTCTGGCCAGATTGCGACAGATTGGGATGACACATGATCGTCACTGGAGACTTCATCCGGGAGCTCCAGTGCCCTTGCGGGCACGTTCAGACATTACTGGCACATGGGCAGGAGTGATGCACATCAGTGACTGGCCTGGACGCTCCATACATGTTCCTTGGCCGGAAGGTCAATACAGTGCTGGTCGAGTGGCGCTTTGCCATCATTGGGTGGGCAGCTTAGGTGTTTCTGGTGCGGTGATCTATGGATGGAGTCCGGGGCCGACATGGCCACAGGCCAGATGGCACACCAATAGGTTGCTGCAACAGGTGACTGAACAGCTGGTACTGAGACGAGGAGGCTGCCGCTATATCATGGGGGACTTCAATCATGATGAGGACCAACTCGAGGCCATACATGTTTGGAAATCGATGGGTTGGATTGAAGTACAAACTCTTCATTTCGAGCGGCATTGTGAACCCATTCGAATGACTTGCAAGGGCAAGACCAAGCGTGATATGATCTTTGTCAGCCCAGAACTTGCAGCTCGGTTCATTTCAGCTTCAGTCGTGGACTCTTTTTCTGACCACTCGGTGGTTTGGGGAACATTTCAATGTCAGCGGCACAATGTCCCTCATTGGATTTGGCCTCTTCCCAGAGCCATTGACTGGACTACGGTTGATGTCAAGGGATGGCAGGCGCAATTTGCAGGTACCAGTGCATTGCAAGTCGATGGGCTTGATGGCACTCAGAGATTTGAGCTTTGGGCGAAATCCTTTGAAGGCAGTCTGCATGGCTTTGTTTCCTCTTCTGCAGAAGGTCTCCATCCTGGGTCCAAAGGGCGGGGCCGTGTGCAAAAACCAGTGCTTCGACAACCTCAGGCACCGTTGAGTAAACCTGCCAGGCATGGGGAGGAGCGTTTGCTGTCTGATTTTGCTGGGCGTGGTGTGCAATTATGGTTTCGACAGTTGCGAAGACTACAAGCTCTTGTTCAAAGTCTGCGGTCGGGCAACTGTTCTGGCTCGGCGCAGGCACACAGGCTTGAGACTTGGGTTGCTATCTGCAATGCATCAGGTTTCCGCAATGGATTTCGCAGCTGGTGGCTTGGCAAACAGGTGCATCTGCAGGGGACACCTGCAGCTCTACCAGTAGGTGTTCCGACATTGGACATCGCTGAGCGTTTGTTTGCTGATTTCAACTGCAACTTCCGTCGCTTTGAGAGCTGGCAGCTTAGGCGTCAACAAGAGATCTCCCGAGCTCCACTTGCAGCACACAAAGAAAAAGTGCTTCAGCGCGTTCGCTTGCATCAAAAAGATTATCTGGACTCCCTGGCTACAACTGAAGAGACAACCATCATGGCGGTGTCACCTGATGGCAGTGAACTTCATTTGGAAAAGGCCATAGGTACAGGGGTGCATGATAGTCAGGTATGGCTAGTGGATGGCATGGCTGAAATCCAGCTTGAGAGAAAGGAAGAGGATGTGTTCCGTGTGGTTGATGCTGATTGTTTGCTGCTACCGTATCAGAGCATTGAATGCCAGAGCTTCTGTACGCAAGTTGACACAATCCAGAAGGTTTTGATGGAGTTTTGGTCAGCTCGCTGGCGCAAGCATGCTGCAACTCAAGAAGGAGACTGGCGACGAATCTTGTCCTTTGGCAGAGCTTTTCTGCCTAGCCGGAAGCTTGCTTATGAGGCCATCTCCTTGCACGCATGGCCGGGGACCTGACGGGTTCCATGGCAGAGATCTCCAATACGCACCAGCTGGTTTCCAGACTGCGCCTTTGGAATTGTTGCAGGCTGTTGAGCTCAAGCAGATTCAGTGGCCGTCTCAGCTGTTGACTGGATTTGTAGCCTGCCTGGCCAAAACGGCAACAGCTTCCGAAGTGGCACATTTTCGACCCATCATTGTCTTCTCAGCCATATATCGCAGTTGGTCTACAGCACGGGCGAGACCGCTTCTTGCACACTTAGCTGACATGGCCGCTGATACTCAGCTGGGATTCCTTCCGGGCAGAGAAGCGCTGCAAATCTCATTCCTGGTTCAGGGATTGATTGAGCTGTGTGTGGGAACAAACACTGATATGCAAGGTTTGGTCACTGATATCCAAAAGGCTTTTGAGAACATCCCAAGGCTCCCTGTCTTCAAACTGGCGATGCATATTGGTGCTCCTCAGGAGATCATCCAAGCATGGGATCAGTTTTTGCATGGCATGGTTCGGAGGTTTGTTGTCAGAGGTGAAGTAGGACCGCCACTGGATTCAACTTCTGGAGTTCCAGAGGGCTGTGCTATGAGCTGTTATGCCATGGGCATCATTGACCTTTGCTTTCATTTCTACATGCACCACTTTGCTCCAGAGACCGTGCCGTTGTCATTCGTTGATAACTTGGGTCTGTTGAGTATGGAGGTGGCTCATTTGCAGCGTGGTCAGATTGTGCTTCAAGAATTCCTTCATCTCTGGAACTTGGATATGGATCTTCGAAAGTCTTGGACTTGGTCCACTAAAGCCAGTGACAAAGGTGCCTTGGAAGTCATGGGCCTGGATGTGAAAACGAGTGCAGGAGATCTAGGCGTCCAGCACAGCTACACTGGGGCTCGCAGGATTGAGGTGCAGCGTGCTAGACTGGCATCTCTGAATGATCTGTGGGTGAGACGCAAACTAGGGACTGATCTGATCGTCTCAAATACATGGTGCTGCAACAGGCCTTTTGGCCGAGAGCATTGCATGGAGTGTCGGTTTGCTTGCTAGGTCCTTCTCATATAGCATCTCTTCGCACTGCAGCAGTAAAAGCATTGGCACATGGTGGAGCAGGAGCATCCCCCTTGATTCGTATGTCCCTCATAGCCCCTGTAAAGGCTGATCCTGGATTTTACCAGACAGTCCGGGTGGTGACAGACTTCCGTCGAATGGCAGCCAAACAAGAAATGGTTCTGGACCTATGGGTGCAACACTTCAAGGGTTTTGATGGGGTGCTCAGGGCTGGTCCATTTTCCAAGTTGCTTGAAGTTTTGGAACCTCTGGGGTGGAGGGTGGTCATGCCTCCGATAGTTTGCAATCACCATGGAGTTGAGATTGACTTGCTTGGTGTGCCAGAGCCTCAATTGCTACTGCAACTTGAGGATGCATGGATGGACTGGATCTCGGGTGAAGTGTGCAATAGAAAGGACTATGCTGGGTTGAAGCTGATCAATTGGGTTGTCATTAGGAGGGCACAACGTCAGTTGACAGGTCGACAACAAGCTCAGGTTGCATCTCTTCAAGAGGGTGCCTTCTGTACTGCTGTGCAGCAGTCGAAGTATGACAACTTCACAGCAGCCTTGTGCCCATTCTGCCAGGTGCCTGACGACTTGGATCATCGCTGCATGATGTGCACTCAGCTGACGACTGTTCACCAGAAACATGCTGCAATTCGGGCTAGGTGGCAGGAGATGGCGGTGTCTCAACGTCACCGGCTACTGCTGAATAAATTTCCTGACTGGAGCAGATATCAAAGAGCACTTGGCCCACTTGGTTGCCCAAGATTTCACTTTGAAAGCACTGAGCCGGTTGATGGCTGGGTGGACCTGTTCACGGACGGGTCTTGCATGTGCCCGGACATGCCTGAATGTGGTCTCTCCACATGGGCCATTGTTTCAAGCACTCATGAACTGACTCTTTCGGCAGGAACTGTTCCAGGTTTCTGTCACTCCAGTGACAGGGCTGAACTGGTTGCGCTGCTGGGTGCGCTGTCATGGGCACAGCAGCATGATGGCCCTACAGCTTGTTGGACCGACAGTGCCTATACAGCCGTAGGGATTTGGAGATTGCAGGCCTGGGTTCATGATTCCCCATATGAGTCGAATAGTGATTTATGGGAAATTGGTGGTAGACTCTTGCAACAGCTTCGACACCCTTTTGTCGTTCGTCACATCCCAGCTCACTGTGATGAAAAAGATTGTGAAGGGGTAGTACAGGCGTGGGCTGCGCACTGGAACCAGTTAGCAGACAGGGCTGCTGCTGCAGCCTATTCTTGCTATAGTGATGAAGTGCGTAGTCTGTGGTTCGAATTAGTTCGTTTCCAGAATGCTGAATTGCGCACGCTTCGAGCTCTGCAAGAGTTGCACTGTGACATTGGCAGTGAGTGGCAGCGGCTGACCCAGCTGCACAAGGCAGCGTTGAGAGAGGCAGAGGCGGTTGAGGAGGTCACACCCGTTTGCCTTCCCCGCCACACTTTAGATGTTGAAACGCTTCCAGAAATGCTTCCGTCAAACTGGAGCGTGGTGGCTCACACAAATGAGCTTTCTTTTAGTTTTGGTCATTTTGGCATCCAGCTGATCCGTTTGTTGATGGAACATTCGGATGATGCCCAGCCACCTTGTGCAGTTTCATGGCTGGAGTTAGCTTTTTGGTGCCATAGATGGTTTGATGGTGACCTTCCGGTCCCTGGCACCCGTAAAGGTCAGTGGATACCCTCGAAGTCCAGTGGTGGCTGTTTGGAATCCTCCCAGACTTTAGCGGCGGTTGTTCGGTTGGTTCGTTCTTGTGTTCGAAGGTATTCTGTCTGTTTTGACTTTCCTTCTTTGGACATCAGGGGTATCGATCTTAGTGCGGTGGGCGTTGGTCCCCCGCAGGCTGGCCTGGCGCACCAGGTCCGCAGGAGGGGGCTTGACGACATTAAGTTTTTTTGTGATCGTCGGCCTATCCGTGTTTGCAATGACCTGGTTCGACCGCTGACTGTTCGTACTTCCTAACATGGGAAGGACAAGACCGACCTGCCCCTCACGGGGCCAGACCGTGGTGTGGACTGCCTTCCGCTTTCGAGCTGTGGGCGCACACCGACTCAAGTGCGACTGCAATTGCTCTTTTTAGAGTTGCTTCACTGTTCTTCAAAGCCCGGTTATCATTGTTGGAAGTTCCCAGTCATTGCCAGTCGAAACTGGACAAGTATCGTTTCCTGTTGAATTCGTAGGCTGATGCCGCAACCAGCTTGGCTGGCGCTCATGCACCGGAGCGAGTGTCTGGATGTTGTTAGTTAGTTGCGTGTTTTCATGCAACACATGTTAGTTATAGTTAGATAGTGGTTTCAGAGTAGGCGCGATCCCCTGTTGAGGCAGTTCTTGTACCTTCATGACTCACGTATTTCAGACATCCACAATCCAGTGTCATCAACTCAGGTCAACTGCTGACTCGGTGGACACAGTTTCATGTGAACAGCTTACATGAGTCTCTGCGGTGCTCAAATGAGATCAACTTGTGACACGAGCTGAAGACTATGCGACAAGCGGAGATTGAAATGAAATCTGCTGGGATGAGAGCAAAGCTAATGAGACGCCCAACAAAACCACTGTGCAACCAACCGGATTGGGGTGACGGAAGACAGAAAGTATAGTGCAGAAATCACTCAATCTTTCATGATGAACCATTGACCCTAGACTAGAGGCCCTAGAACTGAACCTCTTATCTGACCTCCACTTGCATTGCAAGGTAGTCGCGGCGCTGCTTGAAAGCCTTGCACGATTTGCTGAGAAAGTCAAGCAATTTCTTCAATTTCTGGACATGACAACTCTCACGCAGGCCTTGCGCATACCGAAGCCAAACTCGGCATTGTCTTCAAACAAAGAATTGGCCCAAGCCGGACCTTCTCCCTTGCTGTTTGTCGTGTAGGGAAAGGACGGGTTGGAACCACCCCAAATGGAGGAGCAGCCTGCAAACCAAACAACTCAAACGTTTCAAGAATAAACGAATGAAGACGGTGCCCTATAGACGTGAACGGCTCAGCAAAAGTAGGAAAGTGCTTCAACAAAACCCATCCTCTGTGATTGCAAGGATGAAGAAGAAAGAAGGTAAACCAAATGCAAGAGTTTTAATGTATGTCGCCTGTGGCATTGGCAATCACCAGTCGATCACCAAAGAGCTGGGTCATGAGCTTCACATGAGGCGTCTCGCCACATCCTTCGCAAGCTCCACTGAACTCCAGGTACGGCTTTTGGAACTGAGAACCCTTCACAGTGGTCTTGTCAATCTCATCGCCACGATCTGGAAGCGAAACAGCAAAATTCCAGTTGGCCTCCTCTTCCTCAATCACCTTCTCGGCCGGACCCAAAGTCAGTGCATCAGCAGGGCAAATGCGCACGCACAGCTCACAACCGGTGCAATCCCATGGGGAAACTTGAATGCGATACTGGTAGTTGTCCAAAACACCTCCTCCAATTGCTGCACGACTGCCTTCCTTGAACGTCGCAGGTGCCTTTCCAAGCTCTTGGGTAGTCATCAGGAATGGTCGAACTGCAGCATGAGGGCAAATCAAACTGCACTTGTTACACTGTGTGCACTTGTCCATATCCACCTTGGGCACCTGGATAGCAATACCACGCTTCTCGTATTGACTGGTACCGCACGGGACTCTTCCACCAGGCACAAAAGCACTTACTGGCAAGGAGTTGCCATCCAGGTTGTTGCAAGGTGCTTGAACCTGGTTGGCAAACTGCGAGGCATTCTGCACTTCCGGGAACATGCGTGGCCCCTTGCCATAGGCCACTTTGTTGCCCTTCGAATCCGAGGCCTGCCAGGGGCTGACATTAGCACATTGTCGTGCTGAGTCACAGCCAAAACTTGCTCATGTCAGACATGAGGGCATTGTATAATGGGCATTAAATAGCATTACATAGCATTACGACTTGACACGTCATGCCGGTGCCGGGTGCCCTTTGTTTTGTCCCAAACCTCCTTGCCAATTGCCAAGGATGCCCAAGCTGCTGGAACTTCACATTCTACAATGCCCTCAATGGATGCATCAACACCGTCGATGTTCATCTTGACCACTTTGTCACCCTGACAACTCGCTTCAAGCATGAGCATGAATTTGTGCAACCTTATACATGTTCAAACATCAAATCAGGGGTAACTTGCAGTTCTATCAGTTCTATTCTACCTTCTTGCCGTACATCTTCTTGATGCTCTTCTTCAGCATCTCGACTGCCTCTTCGTAGGGCATTACCGCACCTAATCCGGGTGGCCAACCGGTTGATGTGGGCTCTCAAGAGCATGCACAAATCTCAGGCTGCCGCTGAGTTTGAAGAAGACGGTCTGCATGATCATGTTGATGCGCTTGCCAAGTCCAGCCTTCACGGCAATCTTGGTGGCATCAATAATGTACAGCTTTGCCTGCAAGAATATGTACTGACGACACACACACACAGAACACGAACACAGTCACACAAGTACAACATACACCAAATATCGGATAGTGACTATATTTGCAAATGCATACTCTACATAGGCGTGAGTAAGGAGCTAGCAAGTGTGGCCCGCCTTTTTCTCTGCCAAATCCCGGCGCATTTTGGCTGGCAGCTGCTTCTCCAAGTCACTTACATCCCAAGAGCAATTGATGACGCACACCGCGTTCTGTTTCAAGTAACGTGTCATGTCCTCAGGCAAACATGCAGCTGAAATCCTCTTAAGACGCTCAAGACTTGCGACTCTCCGCTTCACAATAGCTTCAGCTTTGACAAGCGACATAGTTGTGAACGTAGCTTGGCTTGTGAATGGCCATATAGTCAGCAGCACGAACGTTGTATGGAGCATGAATTGGTTTCGGTCCAAACCTAAGGTGGCTGATGGTGACGCCGCCGCTCTTCTTGGCATCATACTCAAAGTATGCCTGGCAAGCAAGGGAAATCAAGGCAAAGAAAAGAAAGGACAAGCGAGAATAACATATAGCTTCTTGTTCCTAGTAGCGATGCCAGGAGCCCCTAGTAGCGTCCTTGCTCCTAGTAGCGATGCCCGGAGCCCCTAGTAGCTTGTTCCTATAATTATAACAAATCGGAACAAGCACAAATCAACCAAAGAAGCACCGGAAGAAGTCGTTGCCTGCGCATGAAGCTCCGTTCCCATGGCGATCATCTTCACTGCGCTCTTGTTTGCCCCGACGGTACCATCACTGCCAAGTCCATAGAACATGCATTCCGTGGTGCCTTCCGGTAGCACATTGAGCCAAGGACCCACAGGCAAAGAGAGGTGTGTGACATCATCTTCGATGCCAACAGTGAATCTTGGCTTTGGGCTTTCCTGGGCAAGATTCTCATAGATCGAAAGTACCATGTTGGGTGTGAACTCCTTGGAACCAAGCCCATAGCGACCTCCGATAACGACAATCTCAGAGTGGGCGCTGGCATGGAGCATGGAGGCAACCTCCAGCAAAAGTGGCTCTCCTTGTGAACCTTGTTCCTTTGTACGATCCAACACACAAATGCGTTCCGTTGTGGTTGGCAAAGCAGCCAAAAAACGCGAGCTGTCCCAGGGTCGGAAGAGACGTACCTTGAGAACACCGACGCGTTGTCCCTTGTGCTTGGCCAAGAAGCTCGCAGTCTCTCCGCAAGTAACTGCTGCACTGCCCATGACCACGATCACGTGCTTGGCCTCTGGGTGGCCTTCGTAGCCATAAAGAGCAAAGTGCAAACCAGTTTTCTCTTGGACCAACTTGCCTTTCTCTTCGAAGAGATCTGCCAAGCCATCATAAAAGGTGTTACCTGCCTCTACGCATTGGAAGAAAATATCAGGACCTTGCGAGGTGCCTTGTACGTGCGGGTGACGCGGGTTCATTGCTAGGTCGTGATGTTCCTTCACGGCCTCCCAATTGATGAAGGACTTCATTGTATTGTAGTCAATCAGCTTCACTTTGTTCACTTCATGACTGGTACGAAAACCGTCAAAAAAAATGTTGCACAGGAACCCGGCGCTCCATGGACACAAGGTGTGCCACGATTGCATTCACCTGTGCCATCTCGACAGACTCTGAAGCCAACATTGCCCAGCCAGTGGAGCGGCAAGCCATCACATCACTGTGATCTCCAAAAATGGACAGCGCCTGTCCGGCAAGAGCACGAGCAGCGACATGCATGACGCAAGGTAACAACTCGCCAGCAATTTTGTACATGTTGGGGATCATCAACAGAAGGCCTTGACCTCAGCAAACGGTTTGACAGTTATCTTTGTCTGATCTTTCCATTATTTGACCCTCTTCCACTCAATTGCTACGCACACAATCGCAAAAACCGATTGAGACTGCACATCAGAACTGGTGAAAGATAGGGTGGCAATGTGGGGATGGAGCGCGCTAGATTCAGAGAGAATAAAATAGAAGATAAATAGACCTGAGAAGGGAGGGGACGAAAGCCAGCTCCTGTAAAAACATATTATTGTTGTTATAGCGTGAAGTCACGCCTATCGGCTGGCTTTCGTAATAACCAAATAGATACTGTAGACAGAAGAACAATAGATAGATCGATAGATAGATAGAGATAGATATATACATATACAGAGATAGATACAGATGTGGATATAGATACATATATGCATATGTACAAATATAGATATAGATGTAGTATAGACGTATAGATGCAGATATAGAGGTATAGAGGTAGGGAGGTAGGTAAGTAGGTAGGTAGGTAGGTAGGTAGTAGGTAGGTAGGTAGGGAGGGAGGGAGGGAGGTAGGTAGGTGGGTACGTAGGTAGGTAGGTAGGTGGGTGGGTGGGTGGGTAGGCAGGCAGGCAGGCAGGCAGGCAGGCAGGTAGATCATCAATGGACAAACGACCTTTTTGGCAAGTAGTTCCTTGTGATAAAGAAGTGGGCAACAGCCCACACACAACATGTGCTTGAATGCATGTAGGTTCTTCATCGGTTCCTTGCTTGCTTTCACAGATGTTTGACCACCCTGTTTGTCAATATTGTCCGTGCTTCTGAGTGTTTCTTGGGAACAACTCTTGCTTCAATTTCAGCCGCCGGACTGGGAGTGAAGGTAGTGCTGAAGGCGCCAGCTTTCAACGAACCGTGCAAAGCACCAGCAGCTCCAGCTTCACTTTGCATCTCTGTTACACTGAGCTTCTGTCCATAGCAGTTTATCAGGCCTCAGACGAGTAAGCGGAAGGAAAACAAAAGAAGTCACCCTTCAACTAAAGCAACAAACATAAGCAATTAACAGCGAGTTAATCGCCGCCGTTTACACGTCTGGCCTTGTGCGGACCACTCATCAACCATTTCTCCCATAGGAGAACTTGGTGTAATGGGATAGATGAAGGCGCAGTCACTGAGGGCGTAGGCAACGTGAGCTGCAGCCTGGTTCCCATCGATGCATGCCACAGACCCTTCTGCAGCTTCGATGATGTCAGTATCTGCACATTGATGTACAATTGTCTTGTTCTCTGCTTGGAACATTTTCCGTTGTACCTCTTTGGCCTTCATAAACTGCTCGTACTCAATGTCAGCTGCACCAGACCCTGCTCCAAGTGGCTCTAATCTTTGAGGAGTTTCCTCCTGCCGCTCCTGACCTCTCATCAGAAACTGCAAGCAAAGACCACCATATGGGCCGAAGGGACTTGTCCTTGGCAAAAACAATAAACTATATCTAAATATGCAACATATTTTTCAAAGGAAGAGTGCGCTATGGACCTATGAAAATTCTGAAACCGACACGAAACCTTTGTCAAGTCGGTCGCGTTTGTTTGTCTCAGGTCTCCACTGTCCACGGAGAGCCATTGCACCGGTGTGACACTTGTGACGAGCCTTTCGAGTGCGTCACTTGAGCTTCAAATGCTGAGCAAGTTTCTCTCACAAAGAACACATCCGAATCCGCTGCTCTCCAACTGGATCAGTGTCCCTTTGTACGAGGCTAGTTTGCACAAGTTCAATCTTGACTGAAGATCACGTGTGAATTCGTAAGACACTGCCAAGTGATGATATGGCAATGACCTCATATAAAGCCTTATTGTTGTCGTTGGCAGGGAGCCCCGGGAATCTCTTATCTTTAATCCAGGCTCGATCTCATTTTCATGCTAGCAGCTAGCTATTGTAATTTTGTCAGCGGTTTCACCTTGCCTTCAAAAGACCATATGATTTAATTGAGGTTTCAGGGTAGAAGGGGTGGGGAGAGCATCAGGACACCATCCGGTCGTTGTCATCGAATGACAATATAGTTAAGTTCTTGTGGGGGAGGGCCGGCTATGTTGTGTTACGGCGCCCGTTCGCAGGTTTCAGGCTTCTCCGGCGACTTTTTAAGAAACTCTTTGGGTCATACTACCTTGACATTTGCTCTGCAACGACAAACCTTGAAGTTATCTTTTTAATCTCAGTGCAAACGATTCTAGAGGCCTAAACCTGAGCACATTACAGTAAGGCTAGGTAGAACATCAAGTTCAGAAGAAAGACGCAGAAATCTATGCGACACATGGCTACCAAATCGGACCTAAGGCTGCTGGCCTTAGAACGTCGTCAAGGCCGAAAGCCCCACGATTATGTTAGGATATCCAGTTCCGTCAAGTGCAATTTCACGGGGCCTTGGGGGGGGCTGAGGGGGGGGGCTATGGACCTTATGCCCAAGGCCTTTTCTCATAATGTTGTTTGGTGGAAGGAAAAAGGAATTGAATTCAGGCTTTCCAGTTGGCATGGGCTAATCATGGCTGATCTATCAGCCAACGAATCATTAATCAGTTTGGGAACCTTTTGAGGCACCAAAATTGGTCACCTTTGAGGGCACTGGCTAATTTCTGGATAAGACCTGGATAAGGGGAATCTGAAAGGCAGGAGGGTTTTAGGGTAATCCATGGATAAGCCCTGAATAGCTTGTCCAGAAGGCTTTTGGTGAGGCCAGGAATGCCACCAAACAAGCCCTCAAATTGAACCCCACAAAAGGCCTAAGGACTAGCTTTTGAAATTCTGGTGGTAGATTCTGAACACGCACACACATATATATATATATAAACTATAAATTTAATGATTGATGAAACCCTCAATCGATTGTCAAAGAACAGTTGCTGGCTTTTTGGAGCCAGGGCCCCGAAAGGAATGGCGGCCAAATCGAGCGGAGCCGATGGATGAAAACATCGGGGTTGGGATTGGGTGGTCTCATTTGGATAAGCTATCCTGTGTCTATCCAAGGCTAATAAGCCTCTATTAGGGTCTTATTGCTAAGACCTTATAAAAGGCTTTTTCCATGGTGGTTAAACGCCTATTAAAAGCTTAATAGCTGCTATTAGTATATAATTATTAGAAGCTTAATAAGAATGCACACTGTTTGCACACTATCAAAGAGCAAACCCTAAGCACCATAGCCCCCCCAGCCCCCCCTGGGTTCCATGACAATTGGCTGGCCTAAAACATACAAACTCTTTCAATAAAAAAGTCCAAGCCCTCAACAACGAAATCTATAGAATGTTATAAACGCATGAATGTCTATTTGATTGAATGTTTGTCTCTAAAAAATAGGATGGCTCAACCTTCCGTTGAGCATCCACACTCTCAAATTTAAAAATCTGCTTCGGGCTACTGTTTCTAGGCAGCTGTGCCTTTTTCTAAAATGGTACGCGTACTGATTCTAGAGTTGTTTTTGTTTTTTGTTTTTGCCTCGCAGGATATACGACTTTTTCAAAAACCATCTCCTGCGACAAAAGTCCGAACTCATTGCCACTTGAAATTTGTGGCCTTTCAGGAAGGGAATGCATCGCCAGAATCAATTTTTCTATCTCAAAAGTTTTTGCAAATCTTCCTTTGCAATGTTGTTTGCAAGGTGACACTTTTGGCACCCGGCTCAGCACCAGCCGCACCACAGAACAGCCAAGAGAGAAACTTTCAGCAAGTTGCGCTGAGTTCAGTTTGAAAGAACTCTGTAAACTGAAGGTACAAGTGAGAAGTCTATGTAAACTAAATCCGCATCGTTTCATGTGCATTCTCAATTCTCAACTTCACCGCTGCAAAACTGGCACCCCAGAAAATGCAATGGACTGTGCCTCGCTGCTCGATGCTGGAATTGCACACAACTAATTCCAAGAGTTGACTTTGCCAGGAATACTTTCATGTTGACAGAAGAACCAACTGCAACTGTTGATGCAAGCTCAATTTTTGTTGAATCACCCCTGCTTTGTACAGTATGGGTTCTTGAACTCCATATTGCAATCTGCTTTGGCACGGACACGAGTTGGTGTGACATATATAGTACGTATGATGCTATGGCTATATAGTGGTCCCCAATTGGATAGAAACGGTGTCCAAAACATTTTTAGTGGGTGTGTAACAGCAATTGTTAAAGAACATGTGGTATCAAAACAAAACAGCCAGCATCAAAGCAGTGCTGCGGTGTTTCAGTCAAACCATCTCTGAACAGTACTATGTCATCCAGCGCCATTTTTCTGCATTGCCCCATTCTTCCTGTAAAAAGCGCTGCCTTGCACTTGGCCACTCCGCCCCAGTTAGCCGCAAAGCATGCACGTTCTGCGGTAGAATACCGTCATCCCTCTCCTTCAGTGTGTCTGAAGTTATAGAGGGATAGTGATACAGTGTTCGAACGCTGAGATGTGCAAAAACCTGTCTGCAAAGCTTGTCCTGCTTCAACCTCATCCCGGTCGAATCAAGTCTTACCTTCGATGACGTGATGCGGACAGTCTCGAAAGTCTGTGTCCTTCGATGGGGTCGTTGGTTGTCATGTGTTTCGGCATGTTTTGACTCAAAGAGGCCTCGAATGCATAGATGGAAGTGATGCAATTGCACAAATGTTTGGGTTTCATCCTGTGAAGCATCGGCTAAAGCACCAGCAGGTAGTCCAGGCGTGCGGTTTCGAAACCAACTGAGAAAAAGAAAGACGAGGCGAAAACAGCTTGATGGGTGTGCCACAAATTTAACACGGTATATAACAGTCTGTTCAATAGTGCTGAAAGCCTGTTAGCTAATACTGTCAGCTTCAAGAGTTCTTCACAGTCACATCCCTGCCTCACAGACTCATTGCGGAACTCCCTCTCCCACATGGATTGCACGAAATCGAACATTGGCCGTACATCTTCCTGCAAAGTTGGAGAGACAGTCAGTGCTATCAACCTTAATAAAGCCTCAACAGCTGGCTGAAACAACTCTTCATTTGTCTACACGTATCAAATCTCTGGAATGTAACGGGACCTCCAAAAATGCCAAGCAGCCGGATTTTCCAAGTTTTTGTCTGGATGAAAATCTAGCTGCATCCTCGTTTGGATTTCTCTCAGCACGACGAACCCAATGAAGGCAATTGTTCTCACTTGTGAAAGCATATTCACGTCGCTTCGCGACGGTAACCGCCCGCACCGCATGGAAGGGGACAATATTTCCACCGAACATAGCCCCGGAAGTGATCCCCTCCCGGTCATGCTTCTTGTCCTTTAGATAGTGACTTCTAGGGCTATGTTCACTCTATTCCAGTCCCTTTTGAGCCGTCGTTGGGCCATGTTTACGACGTTCAAGTGCCTATCTCGGGGAAGCATACTCGAGATAGTGACTGCAGGGGTTATGTTCGACCATATGGGAGCTATGCTCGTAAGATAGTGTTGCCGTTCCTAGACCTGATCTGCACACACTTAAGGTAGTGCCTTCGGGGGCTATGTTCGATCATACAGAAGCTATGATCGGGAGAAAATGTTACCATTCCTGATACCCGGACGTTCAAGTCCCTATCTCGCAGAGACTTCTGGGGCTATGTTCGATCGTATGCACGCTCTGCTTGCGCGAAAATGTTACCGTTCCGGAACTGGATCTCTGTTTATCTTTGCTCCTGTGGAGCCAAATATCACTTCTAATGCTATGCCAGGCAATATGGAAGCTATGTTTGGCCACGTTAGGGGGGGGTTTTATTCCAGTTTACGACGGTCAAGTCCCTATCTCGCAGACACGTCCTTTAGATAGTGACTTCTAGGGCTCTGTTAGGCAATATCTTCACTCTATTCCAGTCCCTTTGGAGCCTTCGTTGGACCATGTTTACGACGTTCAAGTACCTATCTCGGGGAAGCATACTTGAGATAGTGACTTCTGGGGTTATGTTCGACCATATGGGAGCTATGCTCGTGAGATAATGTTACCGTTCCTGGACCTGATCTGCTTATCTCTGCTCCTGACCAGCCACGTACCCGGACGTTCAAGTCCCTATCTCGCAGACACGTCCGTTAGATAGTGACTTCTAGGGCTATGTTACGTACCGCGCAGATGATTCAGATGATGCAGATGATGCAAAGCAGAAAATTGCATTTCTTGCATCCCTAAAGGCTTCAAGATAGCAAACATTAGCACGAATTTATCTTCCAGCACTTTAAGCCGGTTCCAAAAACGTGAAAAACATAGGATTCTAGAGCGAAAATGCCCCCCCCCTAGCTAAAGCTATCAGTACTACTTGCGGTACTTGCGGTATAACGCGTGCCCTATAAAAACGCCTCAGCACCTTCGGTGCGGGCGGATTTCTGGCGACATTACAAGCTGAAAGGACACAATGCCCCAGCAAAGTATCAAACAAATAATACAGAATAATACATGAATGGCTCAAGGCCATCTCAGCATCAAGCCGGGCCCATACAACACCGGCTCACGCGGCGCAAGGGCGCGGCCATAGCCTGGAGTTCGAGGAGGGCGCCCCTTTCTCCCGGACAAGGGCACCTGCAAGTTCGAGACGATGACCAGGCCATACCTGGTCTGTAAGAGCTGTAGCCGCAGCTGGATCTGGCAAGATCGACTGGTCAGAGACCACACCCTGACCTGCAGGCAATGTGGCACAGCTTGGCAAGGACAAGGATTACCAGATCTAAAGGCTGCCAGGAGACAGACACAAGGGGCAAAGTGGAACTTCAGCCAAGCAGGACAACGGTGGCCGGTCCGGACCTACAAACAGGCTCTCTTGGAACCACCACCAGGTCTGGCAGGAGGACACAGGCCCAAAAAGAACAAGAAGGTCAAGTTCAGTGCTCTACAGAAGGCAGTGCAGGAGCATTGGGACACCTTGCACACGGCACTCAAGACCCAGTGTGAGGCCATTGGGCTGCAGGCCTCGGCACCACCAGCACCTCCAGATTTGTCGACCTTGATCAAGGAACACTTGGAGAGCTTGCCAAGTGACCTCAAACAGGCAGTTGGAAAACTGGTTGAGCCGGACAAGCCAGAGCCCACTTTGGCCACCAAGCTAAAACAATCGGTGGGGCAACTGAAACAGCTGGCCGAAAAGAAGGCCTCCCTACAACAGAAAGCGGATGCAGTCAAAGCACAATACACCGCCTTGCTGCAAGAGTTGAAGGAGATGCAGACAAAGATCGAATCCGCTCAAAAGGAGTTGCAGGACACTACGACCTTGTACAACCAGCAGATTGAGAAAGAGAAGAATGAAGCTGCCGCTGAAGATGAAGCTTTCACTTTAGCACCAGAAAAGCTGATGACGATCCTGGCCAAAGTCGGTGTACAAGCCACTGCAGAGCAGGTCACGGATTTTGCACGACTGATTGAAGAAACGGCAGCAAAAAGAAGGAAGTGTGGGTAACAAATTGCAAGAGCATGAGATGGCAAACCAAGGGGAAACCACATGGTCTTCATCGGCTAGGCATCATGGGGCGTTAGATGCAATTTTGCCTGATGGCCATGTGCACTTTGGCTCAGACCAACAGGGGCAGACACAGGTGCAGCACACCTGTGGTTTTGGGGCGTCAGCAGATGAGCTGCTGACCACTCAGGAGCGACTACCCGCTGTTCCTAGCTTTTGTGGGGGTGCAGGCACCATGGAAGACCATGCGCATGCACACGAAGTTGAGAACATGACACTGGTGGAGGACACTCCTTCATCAGGCCAGTCGACACTGGACTATGTCATCCAGAACCTACAATGCCGCACAGGCAACTACCGGAATAGGTGTTTCGCCAATGCACCTTTCAGGTTGTGGGCGGGAAGCTTTCTAGGAGGACCTCAGCTCTGGAACCGAACAGCAGCGGCAGTCATTGCGGCTCTCAAAGATGACGGAGTTGTGAACATCACAAGACTGCCAACGTTGCAGCAGCTTTGGCAGACCTTTGATGAACAGATTCAAGATGATGCATCACACTTCCTCATGGACTTGGCCCGGCTTGCCAGCTCAGACAAGGTGATCAAGGGCTACTACCATGTGGATTACAGGCAACAAGTGCACAGAAGAGAAGCATTCCCGATCCACCTTCTCTCACCGTGGACGGAACATGAACAGGAGCTTGAACAACTCATTTCAGAATGGGCCAACACAGCAGAAGGACAGGTGGCTGATGGCAGGGGCCTTTGGGTAGGCCAAATTGGCCGCTATGAACTCAGAGAAGGAGAGTGGACTAAGCACCATCAGGTGTTGAACGTGCCCACGATCTTCAACATCCCCTACACTGAGGATGGGAATATGACCAAAACGGAGCAGTACTCCCTGATTGGACTCCTTTGTCACTCTGGAGAGCAGCACAAGCAAGGCCACTACTATGCTGTCTATGTCTACAGAGGAGTTTACTGGCTAGTTGACGACGTCTCCTATCCACGGCCTATTCCTGAGGTCACGGACAGCATCAAGAGGCAGATTGTACAGGTGTGGGCCATCCCCTCTGTGGAAATCTTAACAGCTGACATCAAAAGTGAGTTTCCTAGTGGTACTCTTGACCCAAGAGAAAGAAACTGGCCGGGATCAATTTTGCCTTTGCCAGTGTCACGCAGCTCGAGCAGCCAGTACGGCAATGGTTACTATCGAGGCCCAGCACTCCAATCTTGAGACACACCTGAATCATGACGACTTTGCCAAAACCAGCCAATGGTTTGCAGCACGTGGTTTTGGGGTCCTGGGGTGGCCGGCAGCTGAGAGCACCAAAGGGGGGCACCCATGGAGGCCACATGCTACTCTATCCAGCCAACATGCATTTTCACTTCATTCACAAGCAGATGATTGAGGGTTGTGGATGGTATGCTTCACAATGGTCTTTTGCCAACATGGATGTCATTTTGGTAATGGCATATTTCCGCACTGGAGAAGGCATTCAGGGGCACATCAATGCACAGCTGTGGGCCGGGCTCATTTCTTTTGTCACCAGCATGACAAAACCGGTCATCATTGCAGGTGATTTCAACATCTCACCTGAAGAACTCATGACGACAACTATGAGCACCATCATGCAGGTCCAAGTCCTGGCTTCAGGACAGGCAACCTGCCACAGTGGCAACGAGCTTGACTGGGCACTGGTTTCGACAAGCCTGATAGCAAACCTCTCAATCAAAGCATGCTGGGAAGTGCCTTTCAAACCGCATGCGCAGCTGATCTTCAACTGGACTCAAGATCTTGAACCAGTGGCGGTAGAGCAGATCCAAAGTACAGCCCGGCACCCAAGCTGCAAAATCCGGCAAAAGAGTGGTATCAGATTGAATACACTGAAGTGCCAGTGCAATGGATGGACAAGCCAACCACACCTGCGACACAAACAGTTGGGGCACTTTGTCACAAGATTGAACGATATGTGCTGCAAGGTTTAGACAAGCCCAATCTGGGGAGAGGCACCTACTACAGTTCCAGCACAAGCCTTTGCAGGATCCGAGCAAACCCTGGATTTGGAAGCGAGGCAGTTTGGCTTTCTGGGGTCAGATTGAAGTCAGGCTTCAACAACTGCTGCAACATCCTTGGGCGGAGCCATCTCTCCAACACCTGCAGCGGCTCTCTTGGCACATCGAGGAACACTGGCATGGAGACTGCCAAATCACCTCGGATAGCTTCCGCATGCTGTTTCAGATGCTTTGGGGACAACATGATGAGGAACATTTGCATGTCTTGTTGAAGCATACAGCACAGCTGCGTGAATTGCATCAAAAACAGTCCATTGATGAGGAAATGCAAACCTATAGAGAGTGGCTCACCAAGGCTGCACAAAAAGGTTGCAGAGGCCTCTATCGTACCCTGAAGAAAGATGAATTGGCATACCTGAGGCCCTTTCAGGACCAACCCAGGCAAGAGAGGATGGCGAGCAGACAGAAACAATGGGGGGCCATTTGGGGCATCCGAGATGAACCACTTCATCTTCCGCAACTGCAAGAGCTCATCCGACAAGGGGCTGAATTCGGACAGAACATGCCTCCGCTTCATCCCAAGCAGATATGGCACACAATCAAGCACCTGAGTTTGAAGGCCCCTGGACTGGATGGCATAGGATTTGACTTCTTGAAGGCCCTCCCGTACCAAGCCATGCAAGACATTGCACAGGTGTTCCACCAGATTGAAGCGCAGGCAGTGATCCCGCAGCAATGGACCACCTCGTTGATTGCCTTGTTGCCGAAATCTGCTGAAATCGAAAGGCCAATAGCATTGGTGGCTACTTTATACAGACTCTGGTGCAGACTCAGAAGCTCATTTACCAAGCAGTGGCAAACCACCCTGGCCGAGGACTACCCATGGGAGAGAGCAACTCCAGGAACGGAGTGTTTGCAAGTGGCCCTACGTCGAGCTTTCCTCACCGAACACCACAACGCGATGAAACGCACGGTGGTATCGGTGCTCCTGGACATGTCGAATTTCTATGACAGGATCAAGCTTGAGGCCCTTTGCAACAGGTGGTTGGACTCCAACTATCCTCCAACCCGTGCAGCTTTTGCTATGCAGCTGTACTTGGGAGGTCGCATACTGGAGGCGGAAGGGGAGGCATCCAACCAGCTCTGGACTGAAAATGGCATTTTGGCGGGAGACCCACAAGCTCCTCTGGCCGCCAAGGTCTACCTGTACAATGCCCTCAAGGCGGTGGACAGGGACCCAGCCAATGCAGTTCGAATAGCAATCCAAGCCTATGAGTACATCAAGAAGCTCCTAGAGGACGACAATCTCAAGATCTCTGAGAAGAAGACTGGCTTCATTGCTTCAAACAGCACAGCCAAGAGACTACTGCAACAACAGCTTCCAGGCAATGGTCCAAGGGTACATGACGTTATGAGAGACTTGGGAGTTGACTGCACGGCGGGCCGTCTCAGGCGGATTCAAACTATGCGCAACCGCCGAAGCAAGGCCTCCAGGAAGACAAAGAAGCTGGCCTCACTCAAGATTCCTCAAAGAAGCATCCGCCTCAAGCTGTACAAGGGCAGTATAGTTGCTGGCATTTCCTGGGGGCACGAGGCCATGGGCCTGGCTCCTCAAGTCAGGAGGAAACTCAAGAACACAATGGGAAGGCAGCTTGGCCTTCAAAGGACAGGGAACATCGACATCCTGTGCGACATGCAAGGCAGGCACCAAGATCCAGACTATGGCTCCTTCATGGCACAGGTCCGCACCTACCGGCGCTTCTATGGCAACTGGCCTGAGGCCACCCACAAATGCTTGGAGAGAGCCTGGCAAGCCATCAGGGAGAAGCTCAACCAGGCCCAATATCCCTGGCAAGTAGTTAAGGCCCAGTTGCAGCACTACAATGCTACCTGCTGGAAAGGAAGTGGGATTGCGCACACTATGGAGTCTGGACTAAGCCAGGACACAATGGCAACCGGGACTTCCGCTTGGACATGGCAGAGGATTGGTTCACACTCCGTGAAGAACTCAAAAGAGCAGAACGATGGGAACGCATTGAGAACAACAAGAGACAGAACCTGGAGGACATCCAGAACACCCTCGACTGGCGGCCATGGAGACTCATGAACAAGACGCTCAATGCCAGAAACAGCACCGCACTGGCCACCTGGCATCAAGGGGCTCTGTTCACCAAGGTTGCAGACACTGAGGCAGATCGTCAACTGATGTGCCCGCACTGTGGGCAAAAGGCCACCATGCTTCACTTGCTGTGGCTCTGCAAGGCGACCACTCAGGAATTCCCTCCTCTGGATCCAGAGGATCAGTTTGAGCTTGACCATGGAGTGCATCTTGAGTTCTGGACGCAGGGGCTGCTCACCTTGCCCAGGTATGAACTGCCTTCAGGCGGAGCTGCAGTGCACGCATGGGGCAGCTGGACTCTTCAGGATGAGATGAAGGTCAGCAACACATCGGTCTTCACCGTAGGGATTGCGGCCACGAGCAAAGACCCGCGCCTGAGACACTATGTGGTGGCCTTGGTCCAACATGCAGGTTTGGGCCAAGAACTGTACCGCCTTGGAGCGGTTGCAACAGTGCTGCCAGGACATCAGTCCTTGGAGAGGGCATGGTACTACGGGTTGAGGATGGCAGCGCACTACATCAACCTCAGCACCCAGGTGAAGTTCCATGTTCTCTCCACCCAAGCCTGGGAAGCTTGGGTGCAGGGAAAGCATGGCCACATCTTTCATGACCTTGGCAGCTTGGTGACACCGGAGCAGAGAAAGCAGGTCAAGGCCCTCAGCATCAACATGCAGCAAATCAGGCAGATGCCAACCGGGCACATGACCTTGAAGAACAGGTTCCATGATGCTACAAAGGCTGCCACGGAGGTTGCGCTCTCTTTCAGGCCACATGAAGAAGAGGCCCTCTTGAAGCAGCAAGATGAGAAGTACAAGAAAATTGCACCGCTTGCAATCAAGCGTGTTCAATACATCCTGGACAATAAGGACCACTTCATGCACCAGGAACGGGAGAAAGGGAAGATCCTCAGAACACAAAAGCAAGAGAGCAAGAAGCAGGCCTTTGCCAACCTGGTGGAGACTCAGAGAGAAGGCACTCATGCATGGATCCTCAAGGGACGGGCCAAACAATGCCAACACTGTCTCAAGAGGTTGACCCTGCACGCCAAGCTTGAGGATTTGAGGACAGCAGAGAATGAGAGATGCCCGGGAAACCCGGGCACCACCCGGGGGGGCCAAGCAGCTTCCACCCCGGTTGAGGAGACCAAGAGCCAGTTCATCCAAAAGACCCTCGAAGACACCTCAGGCGAGCATGGAGAGCACAATTTTCAGCTACAGGGCAGCTACTTAGTCTGCCAGAAGTGCGGCACCAGGGCTTTGAGAAATGCAGCCAAGCAAAAGATCCAGGACATGACCAACACCAGGTGCATTCATGAGCAATGGGAGCCACCCAAAGGTTGGCAGGGGCACAGCTCCCACAGCATGTGGCGGCGAGCCAACACGCTGAAGTGCCTAAGATGCAAGGCACAGGCCACCCTTCGAGGCGAAGCATGGCATGCCAGCAAGGCATTGGTTGGACGATGTGGAGGTCTCGAAGGTCAGACGCAACTTCCACTAGTGTTCAAGGCCAAGACGGCCACTGATGAAGCCTAACCAGAAAAGGAGCGACAAAAAAAATAAGTAATACATGAATCTCCAAGTCTCTTCCTGAGCAGAGCACGCCGCTCATCGGCACTTTTGCACCGGGCCAGGCCCAAACTTGCGCGGACCCAAGAGAATCTGGTGGCAGACCTTTCCGACCTGACAGCAGTCAGACGGTAACAGCTTGTGTAAATTCCTCAACGGAGGCTTTGTCCGTGTTCAAAAATTGAAGGTCAATGGGTGAGTGCGTCCGAGAGGACAACGAAGAGCATACGTTAAACTGCAGATTCTGCGCTTCTGCTGAACCTCTTCTTTGTTAAACATTCCCTACCTCGGTTCCTCGGTCTCCTCTGTCTCAAACTCGATCGGAGCTGTAGGTACCACTGGGACTGCCTCCAAAAGCAAAAGGCTCTACTTTTGAACGTTTTGCACCCCGAACCCAAAGCACGCTAGCTTGCATACCACAGCCGGCCTCGACCATGTCATGCCACAGTGGACAACGCGAGAAAAGGCATTCAAGCACAAAGGCTTTGAGCCTACCTTGCAAAATGCCGTGCGACACAGGACTGCATTTCATGATGTGGGGTGAGCCAGTGGTTCATAAAACTTACAGTGATTGGCTTGTGAGGGTCATGAGGAGAAGGACTTTGTGATACACAATGCCAAGATATGCAACTGGTTGGTCATACAAAGACGGAGACACTCGACAGCGCTAGTGATTGCGGTCCTCGTGCTTTCAGAGTTTTCACATTCTGCAAGAAGCGGCCAAGCATGCGCTCCTGACGCAACGCTAGCAAAGCACTTCTGTCCACTCCCTCTGCAATCCGCATCCTCCGGATTTTCGCTTTTGGGCCAGGGAAGTAGGCCACAGCTCTTGATGAACTCCTGCAGTTTAAGTGCCTTGGCAAGGCAATTAGCAGCTGCTCACAATTGATGGTTACAAATACAAGTCTAATTTGTCGCCGCGCTTGCCTCTCGAAACTTGGACTGCCAAGTAACATTTGTCTTGAAAGGCTCGATACTCGGAAATCCAGTCATCCCAGTAGTTTTTAATTTGCGTTTTCTGTGGGCTGAACGTCTGGCGCCAATCACCTGAATTGTGAGACCAGTGCGCCAAATGCTGCACAGTTTGTGCATTCGTTTCTGTCAATATCAACACAATGCCCACAATGGGCCAACGCCTTCAGCTTCTTTTGCACCTTCGAAGCCCTCTGCGGCATCTTTGGCCGCTCCTTTGGCGCCTTTGGCCGCGCCTTTGGCCGCGCCTTTGGTTGAACCTGCAGATTGCCAAATTGAGTTTTCACATTCCTACGATTCGACTTCACTCAGCCGAGCTGCTGATTGACATCTCACGTGATTCACATCTCCAGACAAATCTCGAAGCACTGCTTGCCACCAGAACTGCCTAAGTGACTTGCAGCAGCTTGCTACCGGACGTCAATATATTCAGTCATTCTCTAAATGCAAGCGCAACGCATGCAACTAAGCAAGCAGGCCAGCCAGCAAGCAAGCAAGAAATGAGTCGACAGTAGACAAACGCGACTCACAATGGACACACCGATGTGCCTGGTCAAGTGAGAACAAAGCAACAAACAACACTTTTGTGAAAGAACTCCGATAGTATCAGCACCACTTTCCACCGCCATACAAAAAGGCCTATGCATCCTGATAGACTTTGCCAAAACGTTCTTTTTCTATTTACTGTAGAAACCCTGTCGCTGAGGGGAGTCTCAAAGACTCTTTCGCGAGCAAACACCCAACTAGCCAAAATGCAACAGTGAAATCGCGATGCCAGTGCAATGGGAGGCTAACACATGCTAGCCAAAGCAGGCCATGATAGAACTTTGGCCAGCAGTTGTCACGCATGTGCAGTTGGAGGGGAATGTCTGGAAAATTTCCAGCCTGGTGCTGCCATCGCACGTGTCACTTTCTTTCGGGGCACATTCCTGCTGAACATGGCACCGTCAACAATGCCTCCTCTAGGTTTTGATGGCAAAGAAACACACATCAAGCAAACATTGCTGAAATTTGCAGCATTAAGCAGGCTGTGACAAAAAAATTACGATTTCAGCCTTCATCCTAAATGCTTGAACGCTTTTCAGCCACATCCACCCATATGCATGACTGCTTTCAGTGTGTCCTCAAAATGTTGGGAGGGTGAAAGAGCATGTTTTCCTTCCTGTTGGTCATGTCCTCGCTTTTCGCAAGTCCAAAGCCAGCTGAGGCCGAACAGGCCAAAACCCCACGCGTAATTTACTAAACTTTGTGGGCAACAATAGGAACAAAAAAACAAATAGATATACTGGGGTCTGGTGACTTAGGACATATTTTTTTTGCGACCTGAGAAAAGAGCGTATATTCCGAGTTTTGTTATCTTCAATAAGCCTCTGTCATCACCAACAGCTTCAATTACTGAAAGAGCCGCAAGCGCTTGACCAGGACAAACCAAAACAGCGTGTCCCAAGGTGGACGCGCACAGCAGGTTCCAGAGGCACGCAAACACAGTCAACCCACTACCATCAGCCCCACTTTTCCCAAGAAGGCTTCCTGCTGTATGTCACTCTCTTCCGATATTTTGCACTCCTGTTTCTGCGTTCCTTGCAACCGAGGACAATTTTCATGTAAATAGTTAGCGTCTGTCAGTGTTGATGGACACCACCACATGAGCTGACTGTGCCCGATGTCTGCTATATATGAATGTCAGGGACGTATGGAGACTTTTGCGGACCCTGTTCGGCCTATCAATGGGCGCCAAGCCACAAGGTGTCCCAGTTGCCCAAAGCTTGCCGTCGTCGGAGGTAGGCCCTGCCACGTAAAATGCAATCAAAATTCTGACTCCTATAATGCCTACAGCCTTGGATGAACTTTTTTGGTCTCTAGCTATGGAAACTTGTCAAGGACATGTCACAACCGCCCGCACCAATGGTTCTTGCGGGTCCAAATACAATATAATTTCTGGTAGTCCTTCTAAGCACTCTATTCTTCGACTCCTTTGACATTGTACAGTGTTGTAAAACACTTTTTGTATATGATCGCCCCATTTACCAGTCGCTTGGAATTGTAAATGTTTATATATATATATATCTGCCGACCCCTTCCTAGCTGAAGCCTAGGCGGGGCGGCGCCCGGGACAGCGTAGCGTGAAGCGATTGCCACCCAGGGTGCGCCAGCCATTGCAGCCAGTGACCTCACCAGGGCCAGGGTCTTTCGCTGTGGCGAGACGTCCTGCTCCTCATCAGGGCCACGGTCTTTCGCTGTGGCGAGACGTCCTCCTGCCGGCCATAGGGTGCCTTTGGCAACTACCTTGCTAGGGGCTGGTGCTGGCTTGGGCACCTATCTTGGGGCTTCGAGGGCGACGGGTCCTGGCAACGGTCGCTCCCTTCTCTGTTCAAAACTTCAGGGCCAGGGTGTTTCGCTGTGGCGAGACCGATTGGTGTGGTCCAGGGCAGCCGGCCATAGGCTGCTTTTTGAGCTACCTGGGGCTTGTCCTGGTCCCTGCCGGCCATGGGCTTGTCCTGGTCCCTGCCAGCCATGGGCTCTGCTCTGCCTCTGGCTCCGGAACCTCTTTGTCTTGCAATTCAAACCTCCCATCTGGCACCCTTTCCGGGCCCTTGTGCGCGCAAACCTCGCTGGGCTTTGGCCTCGAGCTCCCACCTGCTCTGCCTCTGGCTCCTAAAGTTTTGTTTCTTGCGGCAGAGGCACGATGAATTTCTTTCAATTTGTGGCGAGACTCTGCTCACGAAGCTGGTTTGCTTCTGGGCGCTGTCATCAGACTTCTACGCTTTCGTTGCAACGCCTATGTTTGTGTCTACTCCTAACTGTGATGTCAAATTTGCAGCTCGCCCTGATATGCTTTGGTCGAGCCTAGTTGCGCTTCATTTGGGAGGCTCTGAGCTTGGCAGCGATGGCCTCTACTGTTCCGTGCGCAACCTCCCCCACATCCTGTCCAGCCTGGCTTCTGGCCCGCTGACTGGGGTCGGCGCACCAGGGCGTTAGCCCTTTCTTTGTACTTTTTTATTATGGAGTCCAAATTGATCCAAATTAGGTGCAACAATGCTTGCAAATTGCAAGAAAGACATGAGCAAACAAGTTGTACGAGGGCCCAAAGAAGAGTGATTATAAAGACTTCTTCGATTTTATTCATCCACTTCACGCCGCGCTCATCTCCAAGTCTTGTCTCGATCATGCACACTGTATAGTTCATTGAAAATAATCACTCTATTTTTCGAGCCCTTGAAATTGTACATTTTTTGCCGTGTCCAAATGTCCATTTGCAGGCGTTGTTGGATATAAGCTGGTGCCCCTGAAAAGTTCAATTTCTAGGGCATTGACAAGTAGAGTGATGATGTACAATAAATTATGCACTTGCAACCAGCTGACGTATATTTTGCAATGATGAGAGGTATATTAAGACATAGACTGTTGAGAGGACTGGAGTCGTTTTTTTGCCTTTCATGGGCCAAGTGATGCAACATGATACAATAGCGAGAGATATAATTGCAACCCGAGGCATATGATGCAAACATGAGAGATACTACGACATAGATTGTTGAGAAGAGTTGCTTGTTTGCCTTCATGGACGTGGTGATGCAAATGATACAACAATGAGGGCTATTGAAATTGTAAGGCATATATAAATACATTGCATGTGGAAACGAGGTGTTTTTCTCCAAGTTTTTCTTCTACCCAAGCTTGTCTCCCAAACACACCTCATCATGCAGCATATGCATTTCCGTTCCCACATGATAAAGGCCCCGTAGCTAAAGCTATGTAGCAATGAACACGACCCAACACAGATCACACTCTTCAGCACCCTCAGTGCAGACATGTGTCCCAATTGTTGACAATACGAACGCTTGTGGACATTTGGCCTGCTTCCATTGACAAAATAAGTTCAAAGTAATTGTTGACGCCAAGGCTTGCAACCAAGATTTTGGCGCAACTGTTGCAAATAAGAACCGTGCCTGACACGAGTGGTTCTAGCTCAGAAGTCAATGGGGTTTTAACGCTCAACTGAACCTGCTCTTTGTAGTGCCGTGATCTGTGGCAACTTGTGGTGATTCGCAGTCATACAAGCCAGGCATGCGACCATTGTGCATCTAAAGCAACTAGATGACACGGTGGCCGGAAGGCACAGTAGACGACACAAGGTAATGATGATGTTTGTAATGATGACGAGGATGATGGTGGTATTGATCTGGGCCATCCCACAATTCTTGTTAGGCATTGTTAGGTGTTTGTCACAAACCAGAAGCGTGAAGCGATGTTGGTGGCAAAGCAGGCTTTTATTTGGCACATCGCGTATGACACAAACACTGCCATGAGAGAAAGTGTCAGCTTGAAATCACCAGGCTAGGTACAGACTGTAATGTCGTCAAAACATTACATAAACAAATGAAAAAAGCGTGAAACATGAGACCAACAATTGTACATGCAAAATCTACAACCCAGAAAAGAACGCAAACTTGCAGTAACGGGAAGTCCTGCCCCGAGCAAACTTGCAGCGGGGAGCCCTGAACTAAACCCTGAACGCAGCGCTGCGCCAAGAATTGGGCAGAGCCGCCGTACGTAGTAGAGTAACGCTTTGCGCGGAGCAGTGTTGCGATTTTCACGTTGCAACCAAAGAGGTGAACTGCGGCTCCAAGAATGCAATCGCGCAGTTTTCAAAAATGAGACCGAACAATGTGTATTGAAAAAGTTGCAAAACACGGGGATCAAATATGCGACCCGACATGTAATCAAAATGCAAACCCAAAATGCAAACATGTAAAAGAATGCAAAAGTTGGAAGCGTGCAAAAAATACGTAAAAAGTAGAAATGTAGAAAGCGCGCGCAAATTGCCGAAACAATTGACAAACTCTGTCTTTTGAGAACAGCAAAATCATATTTATCTTAAGTCTGCCAGAAATCGTTTTTAGCAAAATTTATCCTGGTAGGAAAGGGAAACGCTTTTCTGCGCACTTCGCTCGCTGGATAGCTCCGGGGGTCTGCCTCTCCAGAACAAACAGAATTGCTACCACGAAAAGTTTGCGCGCTCCACGCGCAAGTTAAACAGAAATATTGCCACCCGGGGGAGATTGTCTTGTCTCGGCCTGTTTGTTTGTTTTGTTTTTTGGGGCTTGTCACAGTTGTGTGTTGGCTGCCTGGCGGGCACAAGGCTTCAGAATTCTGCAAGACCAGGAAAAGTGCAAATGTCCCAGCAAGGCTGAGCAGCTGTTTCAGGCTCTGCCTGGCTGTGGCTTGGTGTTTTTTGCGTTGTAATGGGTCCAGACACATGCAATTTGATTGCTTTTTCATTGGGAAGCTCCCAAGAAGATGCAGTTTCCTGAGTGAGCACCTTCTGGAATTTTTACAATTCTGCGTGGCAAGCTCTTTTCACATTGCAAGTATTACATGTCCTAGTTACATTTTGTTTCATTTCTCACATCTTTTAATTTGTCCCTTGTTTACAGAGTGGGCCTGAGTCCGACGATTTCAAATGTAAACGAGGAGAAACAAAGAGAACCATGGTTTCTACCATGCCAGTGGATGGGCCCAGTGTCCAGCTTCACATCAAGAAGTACAGCGCATTTGCAAGTAACCGTCCGTTGAAGTCGACATGAGCTGTCAAGGCATGTGATGTGATCCATTGTTAATTTTTTTGTCCTCTTCTCGTTTGCCGGTGCTTTTGCTTACCCCGGCTACTTTGAAAACTTCTTCCAATAGACTGCTCATGGCTGCCTGCGGGGGAATTAGTATACAACCTCACTGGCGAGGCCCGAACCCGTACAACTCAAACAACCGTCGGCCATGCTGCCTGCTTACATACCGCTCGGTCTGGTCTGTGAGCTCACAAAAGTCCTTGCCGTGGGCAAAGGATCTCCGTGGGTTCTGTTTGCAAATGGGTCGCGGCCAAACACGTGCCAATGCTTGAAAAATACTTCAAACGCATGTTAGCACAGCAATGAACAATGCGCCAGCTGTGACTGTGCGGTCAAGATTTCCTTGCGTGAAACAAGTTGGCGATGTTGAACTTTCACCGATCTGCTGGTTTCAGCCGACTTGGCGCTGCTCTAAGGCGCATTTCCAGCGTCGTGAATCGCACACCAACCGTGAACCCCAACAGTTTCCGGGTTAATACGGGACCCCTCTTGCAGCCAACCTTCCTCTCCTGCCCTTGCAAGGCATCATCGGCTGCGCAAATCCATGTAGCATCTGGGCGCATCCACAAACCCACCGGCGCCGCAGCTAGAAAAGGGCCCACCTCTCAGTAACGGGCCCTCGAGCCCCAATGCACACATGCACTCCAAAGCAAACTGTCAAACAACATTGACACGCTTGCAGGACACTCTTGCGCGGTACTCTTGTTGGACACTCTTGTAGAGCCCTCTTGCATGCTCTCTCTTGCGGGGCATTCTTGTGGGCCACTCTTCCACACCGCCCTCTCGTCGGACACTCTCATGGGGCACTCTTGTGGGCCATTCTTGTGGGGCGCCCTCTTGTGGGACACTCTTGTGGGGCACTCTTGTGACACTCTTGTGCACTCTTGTGGGATGCTCTTGTGGGGCACTCATGTGGGACACTCTTG